ATCTATACTAGATGAAATACAATCATTTATTTGAAAATTACAAAACAAAGTATAAAAGATGTTTTATTTTTTAAAAAGACCACCAATTTTTATAATTTTATTTTTTAAAAAGACTACCAATTTTTAAAAATAATTATTTTGAGAAATTAGAGTTTGAATAAAATTTAAAAATACATATAGGTATTTGATTTTTTTTTTGCCCGCATGAAAAATATATATTTGAAGAAATTATTCCTTTCTTTCTATTTTCTTTATTTAATTTCTTTCATTTTTCTTTTTATTTATTTTCTCATTCATTTTTTCATAGTGTCACTGCAACAAATAGTAACACCATATTATTATTATTATTAGCAACATCTTATCATTTATTATTAGTATTATTATTTGTTCTCTTCTCTATGTTTTTTCATCATTTTTTTCTCTTTCATCAATGTTATCTAGCATCACCCAATACCATAGCTCCATACGAAACATGAATTTTTCTTTTGTTTTGTAAACATATTTGTGTATTAATTTTTTTTAAGAAAAATAAACATAATAACATTTGATATTTATAATAAAAAAATTGACTTATAAAAATTACCAAATGTTACCTCATAAATATATATATAAAAAAGTTTTACCATTTTATCAATTCACAATCCTATATTAGTCTCAAATTTTAATTATCATTAAAAAAATGAGTCAATATTTCTCATCTTAATAATAAAATTTTTTAAAATAAATATAAAAATGAAAAAAAATATCTAATCACGTTACAATAAATTAAAATTAGATAATAGGGAATAAAAGATAAAGAAATTTTTTGAGAATAATAAACTATTTAAATTTGTCATTTCTTACATCTAATTAAAATAGAATTTTACTTGAAGAAATAAATTATTTGAAAATAATGAAATACTCAAATAATTTGTTATTTATTACATCTAAAATCTATATCTTCATCTTTTTTCCTTTATTTAAATTATTTTTAGTAAATTAAATCTCAAAATTAATCCAAATAAGAAACATGAATATTCGTTCTTAATTTCATTAATGATTGATTTTTTATTTTATTTTTTTAACTTCTAAAAGTTCAAAACTTATAGTGAAAAAAAAAATACAAAGTCAAGGAAATGCAAAAAATAAATAAATAAATTTGTTAGAAATAAAATGATAATTTAATATATAGGTAAATTACAATTAAAGGGTATTAAGAATAAGGGTATTATGGTTATTTTGCATAACCAAGTTAACACCTTTTGACTTAAATTAGCGGGAGGGAAGAATTTTGACAATGTTAGAAAAAGTAATAGAGATCTATATAATTATTGAAACTCTAAAGAAAATTTCTGTAATTACCAGAAACCTCATGGAGATGAGTGTAATTTATCCAATAAAAAAACTATCAAACACATCAATCCATTTCCATTTACGATTGGGACCCTTTTTTTTAAGATTCATACCGATTGGGACCATTAGCTGTGACCCATTCCTTCATGCCGCGATAGGCGTCTGAATCATTATAAAGTCGTTACCAAGTCTATCCAACATTGAGAATATATATAAATAAATAATTAAAAAAATAGATCTCACAAATAATTTTAAGAGACATTTTATACATAAGTTCTAATTTATAAATTTATACTTTATTAAGTCATAATTAAGATTTTTTTTGACCTTCAAGTCCCATTATATTTTTAATAGTTAGAAATACCCATCAAACAATGATTGTTTATCATTTATGATTATCTATAAATAAACATAATGATTTGAAATTTATTTTGATTTTCAATACTTTAAAATATTAACTTTCAAATTGAAAAAATTAAAAAAAAAAATTATGTGCAAAAAAAAAAATGTTTTTTTAAAAAAAAATTGAAAAACTGAATTATTTTTTTTGCGCAAAAATGAAAATTTGTGTCTATTAAAGGAACACAATATGGAACATTGATGTGCAAAACTAAAACAAAAAAAACTTTAAAAATAAAAAAACTAATAATGTTCTCAATTTTAAAACTGAAAAAAACTGTTAATGTTCTCAGTTTTATTAGATAGTTGATTCAAACCAATAAGTAGAAGGGCAAAAATGTTTAATCTCATATTCTATTTTTTTTTCATCAGTTAGTGAAATAATTGTCTAGAACATTACTATGCAAAATTGATAATATTCTTAGTTTTAAAAGTTGAAAAAATTTGATAATATTCTTAGTTTTACTAAATAGGACTTATTAGTTCAAAAAATCTTAAATAGGACCTGAGCTATCATAATATTTATGAATAAAACTTTTAAATAGTAATTAACTTCAATTTTAATGAAATTTTATTTTTTAATATGTTTTCCTTTTATGTTTGATTTTGTGGTTTAAATTATTATTATAGGCCATATTGTCATAATTTACGCACTTGCAGATACACGAGTCGATGCCTGTTCTTCTCCGACACACATATGTATTAGTGGCTTTAAAAGTGAAAAAAGACTCAAATTTTTAATTAATTTTCGTCTTTCTTAGAGCTTGAGTGAGCAACAACAAAATCCAAAATTTTTATCATATATTATTTTTGACCAATTTACAATTTCCCACCTCTGCCTTGACCATTTCAAATGATAAATTATTGTGTGGTGTTCGTAGTTTATTATATTTTGCCAACCAACATCTATTTCGTGCAGATTATTTTTTAAAGTTCAAATTTAATAATTAGAAAGTAGAAGAAAAAATGTGTATAATTTATGATAATTTAAATTATTTTTATCTAATAAATTAGCAAGCTGAGATTTAATAATTAAAAAGTAGAAATAAAAATATTATTCTCGATATTCAACAATTTTTTAGTTTACATAAACTATTTTTATTTTATAGACTGCACCATTGTGACACAAGTTTTTAAAATTAAAAAAAAAAAAAGAATTATAATAAATAACACAAGAAAAAGTTAATATTTGTACCATCGGATAATCAAATAAACCCATATGAGAGGAGTTCGATTGTTCACACACTGAACAATACACATTTTGGTCTACATACAACGGTGGAACTTACCATTTTGGGTAAAATTATTACACATTTTAAGTGTAAGATTCATATTTTTTTGACCAATCATATTTTATGTATTACGATTCAATGGTACTTTTAAAAAATAATTTTGAATTTATGAAAAATCTAAAATTTTAATTATTAATATTTATAAAGTTTAATGCTAATTTAATTTTGTAAATTTTTAAAAAAATTTTCATATGAGGTATGCATTTTATAAAATTTTAAAACAAATAAACAGTGCACATGCTTGACAGTATTATGTTTCAGATTTTTTTTTTTATCTTTTTTTTATTTTTATTTGGGTTCATTGAAATATGTTTCAGATTTTTGAATGAAGGTAACTTTCTCTAGTTTTCATGACATTTATTACTATACTATCATGAGAGAAAGAGAAAAGAAAATGGTTTCATTCGCATCCATCAAAAATTTCACAACACAACACAATGAAAAGTTATTTGTTATTTTTACAGGGTTATATGTTTGTACTCTTCGCTAATTATTATATATAATGTCTTTTGTTATTCTTAATTACTTAACTCAAAATTATAAGTCTCACATTCTCTACCAATCAAAATACCTGATACACCACGTGACTAGGGATGTAACCACACTATGACCAAAGGTGGCCATGGCGCCCCTGTGTTTGCCATAACTTAGACATATATAGGTCTCTTTTGGCAAAGAGGTTAAAAATGTTTTTTTTAAAAAAAAAAATCTCTTTTGGTCATATCATTTTTCTATATTTTTAAACTTTTTAAAAAAAAAATTCAAAAAAAAAAAAATAAAATGTTAATTTTTAACCTATTTTCTAAAACAACCCATAGTATATATGTTTAATAAAATATTATTTATTTTGACCAAATAAATATAAAATAAGTGATAAGGTTAGAAGGCAATAACTAAATTCAAAATAAAATTGTTAAATAATTAGTACAAATTCAATCATGATAAAAAAAGAATGCCAAGTTCAACTCTGATTGATGTGATTGAAGGGAAAAAAATTATTTAGTTTTGATTTGTGGATTTTTGCTTTTCTTCTAAAATATCATTATTTATATTGATTATTTGATATATTTTGATACGTTATACTAAAATTTATAAAAACGTAAAGGTAACTGAAATTAGATATACATATTTACACTTTTTCTATCTTAAAATTCTAACTCCGTCTCACACACCAAATAACCTCTCCTCCACGACAACACACAACACTTCAGAGACTGAAAGTCAAATCTGATTTCACTCACTGTCAGAGCTGATATCAGTGGTTGAACATGCTCCTTCTCGTGTCATGTCATGTTTTCATCACTGAAGAAGAAGAAGCAGTTAATCCTTGTTTTTTTTTTGACCAAATGGAGGTAGTTTTAAATCCTTCATTTGAGAGGTGAGTTAATCTTTTAATTTTTTTAGTTTTTTTGTTATTTTAATTTAAGATTAAAAATTTTCATTTGAAATGAATTTTTAGATGTTTTAAATTTTTATAAGAGAAAAAATAAAATAATTATAATTTAAATGTGATATTTTATTTTATTAATTTTTTTATTGCTGAATTAGCCAAAACGAACCTCTGCCAAACATAACCCAAATCGAAATTTTTAAACCCAAGCAATTTTCTTTCTGTTATGAAGTCGTGTTTTCAACTGATTAGTGTTTTGAAAATATGAGTTGAACTTTAAAAGTTGTGTTTTTCAAAACAAGATTTCAAAAAAGAATTTCAAATTTGAGAAATATGTTTAAAACATGATTTCAACTAATTTTTCTGTAAATTTTCTTGAAGATATGTTTTGAAAATATGACTTCAACCTCATTGTCACACCATTTTATAAAATAACTTGAGTTTAGGAAATACAATTTTTATTCAATATTTTATTCACAAATATTAATTAATGTGTGATCTAAATTTATCCTATATATTCATAAATTTCACATTATACCAATTCAATCTAACTCACTTTAAAATTATGAATAAAATTCCAGTCACTGTGAGAAATAAATTAAAAATTGCTTGGAGTTGGAGAATCTGTACCAAAAACAAAATTCAATTGGTAAAAAAACTCGTGTTACACCCATATTATTAAGACTGGAGGGTCGTCTAGTCTTAAAGAGACCTAAAAAGCCAGTCATGGCAGCTAATTCCATTACCATTGCTAATGAGTTGCTTAACTTCCTCAAGATCATACTCTAATGGAGGAATACTACTAGAACTATTCCCAAAATACCCATTCGGCTTCTGATCAGTCCATGTACCAAATATGTCATTATCACCTCCATTGTTGCCATAATCATCAGTACCAGCCATGAACTTTTGGTCTTCTTCAAGGTGCCCATTACTTGATGACATGTAACTCTGAAGAACCATGTCCTCTTGTTTGATGCTGATCTGACTACAACTTCCATCAGAAGAGGAACAACTTGCTTGATCACCTCCAAACACTGAGTAGTACTGCATGGGACTGAACAAGCTCTCTTGGCTTTGAATTTGAAGAAGAGAAGAGTTGTAATAGTTGTTGTTGTTGTTGTTGTTGTTGTTCATGAGATTAGGTTGATCATGAAGGCCTGTTATGATTGGGTTGTAATTGTACAGCGGTAGTGGTGGTGGTGGTGGTGATAGTGATGGAAGTTGTGAGTGTGGTGGTTGAAGAGGTGGTGGGGGTGGGTATGGTGGTGGTTTTCTGTGGTGGTGGTGGTTAGAGGGAAGTAATAACCCCATGAGCTTCCTCTTGAGCTTGGTGTTCCAGTAGTTCTTGATATCATTGTCAGTTCTGCCTGGTAAGTGAGAAGCTATGATTGACCACCTGCATTTTGATGGGAATAAGTTCCATAAGAAGATGAAAAACTCTGAGAGCTTCTATTAACAACTGGAAGTGAAATTTGGTGTTAGATCTAAACTGGGTATTCATTCTACAAATGGAATAATTTTAAGTACCAGACATAATCTTCTACTCAAGTTGTATTCCGATTCCTAATCAAATTCTATTTACTTAGAAAAACTGGTACAAAAATAGTAGAATCTCTTAACAAACAACTTGAAATTTTTTGCCAAATGCTCTTGGTTACCCAAGCAGAGGCTGGTAATTTCCCGCATATAAAAGTTGATAATCATAAACGAAAAGCTAAAAACACACTTTCTTAATTTTAAAATAATTATTTTTTGTCTACCTTATTTAAGTTATTACCAAATATTTTGACACAAATTTTCAAAATTAAAAAAGAGCAGCTAAACGCAGTTTAATAAATTGTAACAAATATTTCACTGTCGTTAAAAAAAATTAAAAAAATTATAAAAAAATGCCAAATTTTACTCTCCCCTTTGGGTTCTTTTCTCCTTCTTCAAGATGGACTATGGAATAATTTTAAGTACCAGACATAATCTTCTACTCAAGTTGTATTCCGATTCCTAATCAAATTCTATTTACTTAGAAAAACTGGTACAAAAATAGTAGAATCTCTTAACAAACAACTTGAAATTTTTTGCCAAATGCTCTTGGTTACCCAAGCAGAGGCTGGTAATTTCCCGCATATAAAAGTTGATAATCATAAACGAAAAGCTAAAAACACACTTTCTTAATTTTAAAATAATTATTTTTTGTCTACCTTATTTAAGTTATTACCAAATATTTTGACACAAATTTTCAAAATTAAAAAAGAGAAGCTAAACGCAGCTTAATAAATTGTAACAAATAAGTCACTGTCGTTAAAAAAAAATTTAAAAAAAAATGCCAAATTTTACTCTCCCTTTTGGGTTCTTTTCTCCTTCTTCAAGATGGACTTCTTTAACATTAAAAAACAGATTATTAAAATGATGAAACATAATACCCAGACCAATTTGGGTTAAAACAAAGGTCTTGTCTTTCCAGAAAGAGGAAAAAAGGAAATTATTTACAAGAATGAAAATTGTACTACTCTTAATTTGAAGAAATTAAAAAAAGAAAAAAAAGAAAAAGAAAAAGAAATTTGAAGTACCTGCTACCAATGTTAGCAAACAAGGTGCAGATTATCCTATCTTCTTCATCAGAAAATTCACCATGTTTGATGTTAGGCCTCAGATAGTTTAGCCATCTCAACCTACAGCTCTTCCCACATCTCTTTAAACCTGATCAAAGACAAAACCAATCAAACACAAAGATGAGAGAGAGAAAGAGAGAGAAATCAAATTCATTTTGATTTTGAAATGTGGTTCATCTTTACCAGCTTTTTGAGGCAGAGCAATCCAATTTCCACCAGTTCCATATTTGTCCATGAACTCCTTAAGCTTTGTGTCTTCCTCTGGTGACCATGGCCCTCTCTTCACATTTGCCTTGTCACAGCAGGGAGCCCTCCCCATCTCTCTCTCTCTCTCTCTCTCTCTCTATAGTCTTGTGATTTTCATGGATCTCTTTTAGTTTTTTTTTTTTTTTGAATGGTGGATCTCTTTTGGTTGGTGGTGTGGTTCTAGAGCCTTTTTATCAAGAGACATTGAGGCTTGTTTGGGATTTTAAAAGAAAAATTGTTATTATTAAATAGAGAGAGATACAGAAGTCAAAATGAAAGGCATGTTTGATCAGTCTCTAACTCCTTTTGCTGAATAATTAGCTGATTAGAAGTTTTCAATCTCAACTCAAATACTTGAAACCCTATATCCAACCTTACTCAGTCTCTTCCTTTCAAGAACCCCCAAAGTCTTGTTAAGTAGTTGTATATTAATAAGCAAGCAAATTGATGGCCACATATGGGTCTCTTGAGTTGTGACATTTTCCAAACTATGTAGGCTTAGCTATAGGTGTAAACCTATATACTATTATCAATCAATTGGCTTCAAATCAACATGTTTTTGAATCTTTAAAATAAAAAAACATGCATATGAATTTACTAATCATAAATTTCTAAATAATCAAGAAAATCGTATATATATATATATATATATATGTACATACATTTATAGAAGCATGCATGCATGTGCAAAATATTGGAAGTAAAAATTCTTTTTAGAAGTGATTATAAGATTTTTCTAATTGTTGGGCTCTAGAAGATAAGAAGAATTTTAATGGATACTTGGAAACTAGTTCTAAAATAAGTTTAGAGATAAAATCAACCACAAAATTAACTATATATAATAATTTTGACCATATATATCACTTGCATCACTATAAAAGAAATAATTTCACTTAAATTGTTTTACCAATATTTTTGTGTCCCAAAACTTATTGTTAGTTAGGTTTAGGAATACAAAATCAACCATAGAACTAACCATATAAATTATTTCTGAGCGATTCTATTTAAAACTTATTGCTAGTTAACAATAACTCTATGGACACAAAGTGACATAGAACCAACCATATAAAATAATTCTAGCCATACAAAAATAGTTTCACTCGAATTGTTGTTCCATTTATTTTCATGGTATTGGTTATGTGGTCAGATCTATGTCTTGAAACCTAATTACTATTAATTAACAAGAAGTCTAAAGACATAGAATCGAATACAAAACAAAACACACGAAATTATTATCGCCAAACACATCCCTCCAAGAATTATTTTTAAGAGATCCTGGTTCTTTAGAGTACATGGGATGGATGGACATAGTGACGGATGAGAATCATCATGTAGATGGGTCCATTTATAAGATTCTAGGTACCTTGATTCATTTGATGAGGTGGTTTGGATTGACTAATCAATGGCTACATTTTTGAATTGTCATAGCTTGTATGCAATAGGCAAAACTATTTTAATGATCGCTCAGTACATTGAAACATTTTCTCAACAACAGGACATTTCTGCTAAATGTCACAACGAAACAGGGTCCTAAAGAACCAAATTGAAGAGAAACATACCTGATTTGTAGGCCCAATTTAATGTTGACCTTTAATCATCTTCTGGTTTGACAAATAAGCATTGCCAAGTTATTTTAGAAAGAAATTTCTTCTCATTACTACTGAATATGTTGTACAACCTTGCATTGATTGTCATTTTTTAGGGGCTAATTGGACTTTTACTCTTGTGCACTTTGCTTTATTTAGATTCCTAACATTTCAATAATGTTAATTTCATTTTCAAAATATTATGATTGCAGGGATGAAACTACACCCCAGCCAAAAAAGGAAAAGAAAAAAAAAATCCCTTTACAGATCTAATAACTTTTTTTTTTTTTTTTGTGTGCTTTCAAATGCTATATGAAACTAATCGGTATAATTTTTGTTTTGTAGATGGCTTTTGGGATAGACATGTGGATCTTCCATTTTTGTGTACAGAGGATAATTTACACTTTTGAATAATCTTGCATTTTTGTCGTGCTCTGCTTTTTGTGTCACTTTTGGATGAATCATACATATAACTTTTGGCGGGGTACAGAATACTTTTGACGTCGAACAAATATTTATTGCCGTGGTATATAGATTACATTTTGTCGTGATACAGATTATCATGGTAATTTGTACAATGCCAAATGACCATTTCGCATAGTAGTAAATATATTTTTGTGTGCGGAGGACGTTGTTTTTGTATGCTTATTATTATTTCAAATTGGAATATATACTTGTTTTATATAGAATTTGACACTAAAAGTTATTCTTTTTTCTTAGATGGTTGTAAGTGAAATACGTATTGTGGAATGTGTGATAATATATATGTATTGTTTTGTTTTTATACCAGTTATAGGTTGCGTGGGATACATACAGGTTATGGACAAATTAATTTTTTTTTAAAAAAAAAAACATAAAATGATGTTTTTGGAGACTAAACAATTGGTAGCTAAAAAATGAAGTTAAATATTTTTAGCGACTAAGTAGTTAGTAGCTAAAAAAAGAATTAAACGAAAACAAATATTTTGGTGACTAAATAGTTAGTAGCTAAAAAA